TTATCAATTGGCCGCTTATATTGGCAAAATTTAGATATCAGTGCATCCCTGCCGTTAAATGTCACAATCTGATCCCAGAATGCATACAATTCTGTTTGGGTTAGTAGATGGGTTAGTTTTGTGCCCCATGTACTGGGATATTATTATTGGAAGCCTGACTACTTCACCCACTAATAATCAGGATGCTTATGTAAATACACTTGGTTCAGTTTGGTATGTAAACAGACAGGATGATTTGCGTCTGTGGTCTCACCGTTTGATCTCCTGCGTGAGGTTTTGTGTCAGCTTCCTGGCAGACTCGAGTTGTCCCTCCAGCGAGTGCACCTGACCTGTTTTGACCTGCAGGTCATGAGACAGACGCTCTCTGGCGCGCACCTCCTCCTGCACCCCTTCACGCACTCCTCCCAGCTCCCTCTGGACTGTGGCCAGCTCCACACGCACCTCCTCATACTGACAGAGCGGAAAATGGTACATAACACATCCCGCACTGTTTGTGCTACAGCTGTGCTGGAAGAAGTCTCTTCTGCTCATCATGGCTGCATTTATTTGATCAGAAAAAAAAATATGAAGCAGCACAACACTGATAATAAATACATAGACAAATAATAAAACATTTATAATAAATCAGCATATTAGAATGATTTCTGAAGGATCATGTGACACTGAATAATGTAGTAATGATGCTGATGCTTTGATCACAACAATACATTATATTTTAAAGTATAATCAAAATAGAAAACCAGCATTATAAATAGTAATAATATTTTACAATATTACAGTTTTTTTCTGTATTTTTGGTCAAATAAATGCAGCCATGATGAGCAGAAGAGACTTCTTTAAAACACAATAAAAATCTACTAACCCCCAAACTTTTGAAAAGCAGTGTATATATACACACATATATACAACCCACATACATAAATACATTTAATTAGTCCATGTTTGTTCTGCAAAAGAACAACATAAGGGTTGGTAAATAAAGACATTTTCATTATTGGGTGAACTATTCTTTGAAGGAAACTTACATATAATTTCTCTAAAGCAAAGGTTTGGACAGTCCCACAGACAAACACACACACACACACACACACATAGTGAAAGTGTCTATTTACATTAACCCTACACCTCCTGTCTTTACTTTCTCTTCTCAGTCACTAACAGCGAGGACTGGATTGCTGAAAGAAAAGAATGAGGAAAATCCGGCCCATGAATCTCTTAGAGCTGTTGAACTGTGAACATCCTGGTCAGATCGCTTCATGCACTTCATCTCCATTACAAAGCATCAAAGACGGTGCTCTTAAACACAGCTGACGCCAGGCTGGGTTAATAACCATGTTGGCTACCGAGACGTTCAACAACAGTCTTGCCTTACGTCTACTGTATATTTACGAAAACAAACCTCAGCGAATGTATATATCCTACTATGGCGAAGTCTTGGCTCATGAATATCAATTAAGTTTCGTGAATGAAGGCTGTGGAAAAGACGCAAATTAATATTCATGAGATAAACCTTCGCCGTAGTAGGATTGGTACATTTGTTGGCGGGTTTTGAGTAAACTAGAATCTGTAGACTTTCAGCAGTGCAATAAAAATAGTTTATTTAACGTTATTTGAGAAAGACCAACGCAGAGCAAAATACAGTCAGATAAAGCGAAATGCTAACGTACAATGAACTCAAACAATGTGGCATCACTCACCGGGACTTCTGATCTGTTGATCTTTTTAAAACACAGCGAACTTGACGTCTTAAACCCCGTTTACGTGGCTGTTCATATAATACATCCGATATGTATATGTGTTACATGTGAGGCGTTTGACCGTTTAACGTTAACAGATTGTCGTTATTTTAACAGTCAAACCCGAGCGCACGCGGTCGCTGTGTCTCGAGCCCCTCAGAGCGTGATTTGACGAGAGGCGTGCGAAGGGTCCGTGACGGTCCCAAAGAGGCGGGGCCTTGAGAGGTAACCAGAAGTGCAGTGGCCCCCGCAGGTCAATGACAAGATTCACCCTTTTAATTTATTTTTTATTTAACACTGAATTAACATCAAATTAAATTATACCAAATGCTTAAAATTACCCGAGTTAACAAAATCATTAAATACTGTATCTCAGTTTGTTTTACCTCACATTATTTTACATTTGCATTATTTGCAAAGAAGGGGGGAAAAATGTTGGTACTAATATTAAATAAAAAATGATTTCCAGATCTGAAAAAGAAAATCATAGAAATTTGAGAGAGAAAAAAAAAGTTTGTTATGCTCGATCACAAACTCTTGGAAAAGTTTTTTCAGAAATTAGGCTAGACATTCGTTTTCTACAAAGTCCCTCCTTCCGACAAGCGCAGTCTGCTCTGATTGGCCAGCTGACCCAGTGCATTGTGATTGGCCGAACACCGCAAACACATACCATAATCGCGAGCTTCAGCTTTCAAAGTAAATGTAAAGACAGAGCCCGAAAGGGGAACAAAGTCGCGTGACAGACACAGTGATGAAGCTGGTATGTGTTTGCAGTACACAAGCCACGGTTAAGACAGCTGACTCCACTGTGATGTGACCCCCCCCCCTCTCTCGCTCTCTCTCTCACACACACACACACACACAAACACACACACATGATGCGCAAAACTCCGCATTTGAACAGTCAATAGTTGGAGAAATGTAGCATTACATCACTGGCTCACCAACAGATTCTCTGCAGTGAATGGGTGCCGTCAGAATATGAGACAAACAGCTGATAAAAACACCACAAGTAATCCACACCACTCCAGTCATTCAGTTAATATCTTGTAGTGAAAAGTGCTGAAACTAATAAGCTGCTGGAAAGAAATCCAACATTAATCCCTCATATGAGTCCTTTATCCATAATATTGTTTTTTCCAGTGAAAAAGTTGCCTCGTCTGAATCAGGAGAGAAATATGCACAAACCAAGCACAGTTTACAACGAAAACAATCCAAAATAGTTCTAAACAAATATGTCAGTGAATTTTAATGTGAGGAACAACAGGGAATGGACTTTTCTTTTAATGGAGGAAGCGATAATATGTTATTTTGGCCATAAGGACTTTTTTTAAACTGGAGGAAGTGATATTATACAATCTGGGCTGTTATTTTGACCGTAAGCGACAGTTTAAAGTTAAAACATCTTAATGATGGATTTGTTTATGACACACACAGATTTTCACTTTACAAGACAATGGACAATTACATAATTGATGGACTGGAGTCGTGTGGATTACTTGTGGATTATTGTGGTAAATTCTAATATACAGTTTGCATCCCAGATAGGCAGTTCTATTTGCACCCTTGTACTCATATGTGGATAATTATCCAAACTATTAATTGCATAGTCAACTGAATAATTATCCAAACTACAGCAAAGACAATCAGGGTGCAAATATCTGCACTGTGTTGGCGGCAGAGGAATTATAAAAAAGTGTGGACATCCAACTAAAGTTGAGTCCAAGATCAGGACACAAATAAACAAACAAATAGGGGGGAAAGTGTAGATAGCTACACTCTGATATTGTAGCTCCTAATTTTTTTTTATTTTTTTGCAAATGCAAAATTTCATTTAGCACTGCAACAGGCCTTTAAATGTGGACCTGGGAGCAAACAGTCAGATATAAAATTTTAATGTATCTATATAAACCATAAATAATCTGAGGAATCAAAAAAATTAAAATAATAATCTGGGCCCGTATTCACAAAACATCTTAAGGCTAAAAGTAGCTTGTAACTCGCTGATTTAGGAGAAAATTTAAAAAAATAATGGGCGGGTCGGTCCTAAATTTAGGACTCCTAAACTTTTGATCTAAAAGTATTTCACAAAGCATTTTTGCACTAAAACTAGCTCCTAAATCTGTGAAACATTAGTAGTGAAGAGAACTCCTAAGTCACTAAGACCTAAGATCATAAAATGGCCAGCAATTTGCCTCGGAACGTAAACATTTGAGAAATATTTGACGATAATGAGCTTTTATAAAGGTATCACCTTTGGTTTTGAAGGTTATCCCAACTCCAAATTTTCCTTTGATTATGTCCTTGTTTTCATTAACCAGTTAGGCAAGAAGTAACAGCTGTGCTTGTGTCCAGTTTGGTTTTCTTTTACATTTGCATGTCTTACTATCAGCCATGATTATGCTACTCTGTTTATTAAAAGGCTGTTATATGCATATTCACTAATCAGAATCAGAATCAGAATGAGTTTTTATTGCCAGGTATGTTTACACATACGAGGAATTTGTTTTCATGACAGATTCCTCGTATGTCTAAACATACCTGGCAATAAAAACTCATTCTAACTCACACTAATTATGAAAAGCATACATGTAAGAGGCTGACAATTAGCTGAACACATACTTGTTTAATTAGTGACACTTAGCTTGCATTTTAAAAGCTGACAGAGACCATCAGCCAATCACTGTGTGTATAGTTAATAAGCATGCTGACATCATCCATAGCAACCCCGCCCTCTTACTCTTAGCTTAAGATTTCTCTCTATTCCTTAGTCAAATTTGTCTCAGCAGCTTTATGAATAGGTTTTAAGAGAAAACTCTTAGCTAAAAACTTTTACTGCTACTTAGGAGAACTCTTAGTGATAAGATAAAATGTTTTGTGAATATGCACCCAGTTTTCCAAATAATAAATACAACAATAAAAACATGTACAAGAAATTATTAAAATCATTAATCTATAACAACAACAATAATAATAGTAATAGCTGAATAATATTGTGATATTATAATATTACATTTAATTATTTAGAATAATAAAATATTATGTTATCAGTAATAATATTATCATAATAGAAAATACACATTTTTAAAATTAGTATATATATATATACTGTATATAGACAGACAGACAGACAGACAGACAGATAGACAGATAGACAGATAGAAATATTTTAGATTTTACAATAAAAAAAGTCTCCGTCAAAATGAAACCTGCTGATCTGGTAATCACCTGCAAAAAGTGCTCAATGTTAAAACTTGAACTTCATAACTCAAATGTGACTGGTTGTTGCTCTCACAGATGTTTCCCTGGTCAGTAGTGTTTTCCCTGGAGCCGAAGGTTCCCGGCCAGCGCACTCCAGAGGAGCTGGTGACCAACACTTTGATGCTGGAGCTGGGTGCCATGGTGAAACGGACCGAGCGAATCCATCTGGAGAAGGCAGCAGAAAGTCGCAGACGCCGCAGCTCGTCCTCGGCAGACTACAGCTGGCTGGCCGGCTCTCAGCCACACGTCTCCTACGAGCTCACGCCAGGAGATGTGCTGGAGCTGCAGGACCTCTGCGCTCAGATCCCACCTCAACAGTGTGGGCCGGTCATTGTCAGGTAGGTATCAGGTATCAGGTTCTTTTAGTATAATTGAGAAAATATTATACATTTTATTGATAGTTTCAATTAGGTCTTATTTTTATATTTTTCTTTTTCATTTTAGTTTAATTTTTTGTAGTCTGTTTTTGTGATTTAAAAAAATATATATATATACAGTATATATATATATATATATATATATATAGATTCTATTACACACTCCCAGAATTTTTTTTACTAGTTGTTTGAATTAGTTTTTATTTTTGTATTTTCCTTTTTTCTTTTAAAGTCAGTTAAAGTTATAGTAATTTTTGTTGCAGTTTTTTTCTTTTTATTAGTTTTTGTTTAAATGTCGGTAGTTTTTATTACATTTGAAACTTTAGTTTTGTTTGAGTACATTGTTAAACTAAATGAAAACTGGATGTCTTTGTGACTAGATGAAATAAAACAAGATGCATTTTATTTCAGTTAATATTAAAGTTAAAAAACGAACCTAATTGCTTGTAAATTTCACAATTAATTATAAAGAAATGGCTAGTAACACGCTGAATTAAACATTACATTTGGAAGTAGAAAGACTAAACAGTATTTGCTTGTAAAAAGTACTCCAATAATCTTTGTTTTAATTACTGTGAAAATACATTTTTTACAATGTAGTTTAAATGTTTTTATTTTTAGATTTTCCTTTTTCCATTTTAATTTGAATTAGTTTTAGTCATTTGTGTCATTTATTTATTTGAAATATGTCTATATAGTTTTTATTCATTCAGTTTTAGTTTTAGTTATTTTAGTAGGCCTACATCAAGTTAAACTAAATTAAAATGAGAAGTGTTTCCTTGGCAACTAGCTGAAAGTTTTTCTTTTCTTTATATTTTCTTTTAGTTCCAAAAAGTACTCCAATAATCTTTGTTTTAATTACTGTGAAAATACATTTTTTACAATGTAGTTTAAATGAGTTTTTATTTTTAGATTTTCCTTTTTCCATTTTAATTTGAGTTAGTTTTAGTCATTTGTGTCGTTTATTTATTTGAAATATGTTCTAGTTTTTATTCATTCAGTTTTAGTTTGAGTTATTTTAGTAGGCCTACATTAAGTTAAACTAAATTAAAATGAGAAGTGTTTCCTTGGCAACTAGCTGAAAGTTTTTCTTTTCTTTATATTTTCTTTTAGTTCTGTCAAGGATTATTTTATTTCAAGTAACATGTTTCTTATGCTTTTAGTTTTGCTTAAATAACCCTATGAACTGACCAATACAGAGATGAGTCATGCAATACCTTTTTAAAGATATTAATATTTGTTGTTTGTTTGAAAGTTTCAGGAAACTAGTGTCAGAGTTTGAGCCTGAGGTGCACGAGGTCCCCAAACTGTTCCGGGGGGTCCTAAGAAACTGCCTGGATGAGCTTCAGGGAGATGCAGAGCTTCAGGATGGGGTGAACCGTTGGGAACAAAAGCGCAGCAAGAGCCTCTCCTTCGTCACGTTCCGATCCAAGTTCCGCACCCTGAACCGTGGAAATTTTTATGATACTTTGCTTACAAAAAGTGGTGGAATAATGTAGATAAAATAATATTTATATTTTAGTGCAAATACACAATCGGTTAATTGTACACCATTTTTAAGTAATAATACTCTTTTTTTGTTTTAATATTTCAACAAAAAATTAACAAATTAACAATAAAACCCTCAAAAGATGAAAATTGCTGAATTTTTTAAAACATTGTCAGCTTAATTTCTATTATGCATTGTTATCTTTTCATTTTGGGGAAACATATTCTCACCATGTTTTGTGATTCGCTCCACAAAATCTCTACAGCCACAGCGAGAGAAAAAAAAAGCAACATTAGCCATAATCAGTTTCTCAGATGTGTTTTAATATGTACTGTTTGTCCTTACATTACAACAGTGCTCAGTTTATACAAGAGATGCAGACCATTCAGCTAAAAAAAGCCTGGAAACAAGAGTCTTCATAAAAAGTGCTCATTAAATAATACACTGTACATTGATCATGAGTTTGAGATTTTTGTGGCGTGTGTGGGAGAGAGAAAGTCTGTGATTTACCAAATTAGAGAGTTTGACCTTGAAAGCGCTGCTTCTAAATGAAGAAAACATCATCTCGCCAGCTCCCTCTCCTGTTTCATTATTCACAGCATCACAGCATGAAGGAGCTGATCTTCAGTTCTTTGTGCAGGTGGCCAATAGTTCATCAGGCCAAAGTTGCTCCTCACAAATGAAGGAAACGCATACAGCGCTCATTTCTCAGAGTACCGATCGGTTTCATTACCAGACGTTCAGCTCTAGAACAACCAACACATGCAACTTCCTCTGCACTGACCTGGAACAAAACACGTCCTGATGTAATGAATGAGCAGTTTATAACTTTAGACCCATCTGGAGTCTCTTTGTGATCTATTCAATTCTATAGTATTGTATAAAACACTGGTCTTCATTCGCACCTTGTTTATTCCTGCACAAAGCAAAATCATAAGACCAGGCTACTTCCTCTAACTCCTCCTTGTGCATTTGGCAGAATCAAACTCAAAAAAAGAAACTGAAAGTTTCTAAACAGTATATATTATTACAGACCCCATATTTACAGGGCCTGCAATCAGAAGGCCTTTACACTAGAAGGGAGAATCTCATGAAAATTTAGACTTATATTTCACCACCCAAAAAGGAAAATGTAGTCTATATTTTTTTTAGGACCATTAAGAAAGAAAGCGAGAGAGAGGGAGAGAAAGAGAAAGAGAAAGAGAGAATTTTTTTTTCCCCCATTGTGGCATTATTTTAATGACAACTAAGCACATTTCCCCCAAAATTCCCATGAATGTTGATAAATTTATAAACTAAATTATAAAATTATTTTCACATTTATAAGAACATTGGTGAGTATATAACATGGTAGCATTTGTTGTACTGAATTTTAATTTATACTGTAATTAATCATTTAAAAAAAAATCACGCTACATATAATAAATCAACATTATTATACAGCAATTTTTTCAAATTGCATATAAGAACTTAGTTTTCATGAAAAAAATGCCATAATGGTCCTAAAATAGACATCACTTTTTGTATTAAAAATATAATTAATTATATAATTAATTATAAATTATTTTTCCCTTTCAATTTTTTGGGTAAAACATGACTGATATTTCTTTGTGAGATTCACCCATAAATGGCAAATAATTACCTGTCTTTGATATAAAAACACATTAATAAAGATTAACGGGGGAATTATTATTATCAGGCTTATTTTATGAGGAGAATTAGGTCACATTTAATTTACTGTAAAAATGTTATCTCTGATTACGGACAACACTGTCTGAGAAAAACAAACTAAACCAGTTTGGAGAATCAAACCACTTGGGAAAAAGCCTTCTCTTTTAATATGCGATTATTAATAAGAAATGAAGGCTCAAATATTAATGCAGATGTAGATGAAGCTTAAAGAGAACAGAGTGAATCAGAACACCCTCCTCTCTGTTTAAATACACAGTAAACCTCAGCTCCACCTTCACCCCCCCCAAAAGAGTCACAAGTCCACTTGTGATTTTGCACATTCGCCCATAAGTCCATCCTTCAAACCCTTTGGCTCCGTTTTCATCCCTCCTTATGCTCAGGGTCGTTCCTTCTCAGGCGAGGAAGACCACAAAGATGATGAAGAAGATGATGAGAACGAGGAATATCTTGATCATGAGCCAGCGATTGGAGGAGACGGACTGGAAGTACTTCAGTATCTCGGTGTGGGCCATTTCCACATTCAGCTGGGTGTCCTCCACATTGGCATCGATCCTGGTGGTCAACAGAATCAGACAATGAATATGATTTTACAGTCTTTGACAACAATTACACAACTACATCATGATTACATCAATCTTAATAAATGTTTTTACTTTTTTCACAAATGCACACAAAGAGCATGCATTTTTACTTTTATTTCATTAAATCATCACCTTTTGAAGTGTCACAATCACATTAGGCTATATCGCGCCTACTGCTTTTGTCTTGCCCAAATATAAGATCTCTTAAAATGATTATTAAGACTTCTGTTATACTATTTCAGTGTTGCTTTTGACAGCAAATTTGGATTTAGTCTTAGTCATAGTCTTTTGACTAAAATAATGGGTTTAGTTAGTGTAATGCATTTATTAAGCATTTCTCAAAACATTTAGATTAATCCTTATTAGGGTTACTAATGTCATTCAGTCAAGAGTAGCGAGTGATTTTCTCTTTCTTTTGTTGCTTGATTAACATTAATGACACATACAACAGCAACTAATTAGGCTGCTTTCCCTTTAAAACCAAATGCACAGGTGCATTATACTGATACACATCCGATATTCTCCCAACTGTTTACGTTCACTTAAGACGTAACCGAGTGTGTATTCACGTAACAGTGTACGTGAATACTCGTTAAAACTGACGATTCGACATCATTTTGTGTGTATTTCTCGGTTCATGCGACGTGAAAGAGAACTGAATTCAGTCATGCGCTGTTTGCAAAGAGCTTTTCTGTGTGCGTGATTCGGGTGTGTGCACTCAGAAAACCGGACTGAATTGAGTTCTCTTTTGCATCGTCATGCTTTTCAAATTTAACCACATCTCTGCTCTTCTCTTACTTTTTACATTTTTTTACTTTTAATGGGACGTGCAGCAAGTGTATGCTAGCTTATGTCCCGCCGGATAGATCAGTAGGCTGTTGTTACAGTTCAAATGAGCACATCTAACCTCCCAACCACGCAGGAGATTCGTTCTGACTGGATCTCTTCCTAGATCGTCCCTCCCTAACATTTTCGTCTCGTTTTTATTAGTTAACGAAAATGTCAATAGCTTTTCATCATAGTTTTTGTAATTCAAAATTAGATTTTCTTTCGTTATCGTCTCGTTTTTATATAAAATGTTGTTGCCGAAAATGTTGACAAAAGTTATTCGTCAGTGAAATGAACACTGCACTATTTAAGATATTTTTATGATCTTAAATTGGGGGGAAACAATTAATTACTTTTTATTAGCATAAACACTCCTAAATAGATTTTTGACAATTTGCACACATCAACTTTTAGTCACAAATGCAAGTGAAACTCGCACTGACATCTATGCTGACTTGAAAAAAATACTAATCTGACTGTAAGCATTTGTGTGTGGTTTGTACAGCATGTACTGTTGAGTCTGTGGTTTTGCAGTATGTTGATTCATGTGGTGTGTATGCATTTGTGTGGTTGTCTGACCTCTGAATCGTCTCTTCCTGCTCTTTGACCATGTGCGCCAACTGCTGAAAGATGGAGCCCAACTCCACAATGGTGCTCTCGATGTTCTGCATGGTATCCGATCGGCTCTGTATATACGAGTCCTACATAAACATAACAAAAGGACATTTCATGATGAAAGCAGACATTCAACAGTTATCATACATGCAAACCTTCAGCTACAAGCAGCAGTCTAGACCAGTGTTTCTCAACCTTTTTTTAGTTGCGGCACCCTTTGGAAATTTTAACAAACTTGTGGCACCCTACAAAATAAATTGTCACAATATTTGAATTTCTAACTTCAATATGATCATTTGAAAAGTATAGATATTCGGCACAACAGGGAAGAACTGCAGAATATAATGTCATAAAAAAAATCTGTAAGAATTTATAGATATTTTTTATATTATTAAAAAAAGTGTGTCCATCAATGGTGGCAATCAGTAGGCTAATTTCTAATGAAGAGACCAATTTATATGACAGATTTTAATGTAGGCTTTTATACATATAGCTATCTCACAAATTTTTGCTCACTCAGTGTTTTTTAAATTTTACAATGGGGTAATTTTGGTGCAGTAGCACGAGATAGCTTGATTTCAAACTTTGAATTGAATAAAAAAAATGACATGTAAGCAGTCAGTAATAAAATAAGAACAAATAAAGAAATGAATGATAGCACAAATAAAAAAATAACGGCAGGCCTTCAAATTAAATAAATAGCTTTTTAGTTTTTCAGGTAGGTCTAACAGTAGGGTTAATTTAACTTTTTTTTTTACCAATTATCCAAATAATGTTTAGTCCTAGAAAGCTATTATTATCAGAACACGTGAGCATAACATAGCGGTTAGCAGATCAATGAATGAGAAAGCAACGTTACCAGAGTTGCACATATACCACACCATGTTACAGCACAGTAGGGCGATTGCAGACAGAAACAATACTGTACTACATCGATGTTTCCTGTCAGCTCAATTATTGAGTGGACTTTGCTGTTCCGATTCGCATGAACGGTATATGAGTGGAGCGACTGAGCAGAGCACACACACACGCATAGAGCGGGATAACACGCAGCGCGTCACACCACGTGAAAGTGAATCCTGAGCGGTGAACTAATTTTCGGCAGCCGGAATTTCAGTGCATCTCTAATTATTGGCGACATCAGAAATGGATATTATATAATAGCTGCTTTTTATTTTAACATTTCAGCAATTTAAAAATATAAAAAATATATTTTTTTACACGGCACCCCTGCTCTCGACAGACAGCACCCCGGTTGGGAAACACTGGTCTAGACTACAAACCATTCCAAATTTCCTGAGGGACTGATACCTGTTCATCGATGAGCTGCAGCTGCAGAGGGTTTGCTCTAGAGTCCATGTCGATGGCCACCTCTCCTCCAAGACTCCTGGACTCATCCTGCATCAGAACTGAGCTGTCTGCGAGAGCCAAGAAATTAAAAACTATTAAATACAAAATAAAGACACAAAGTGTGCATACAAAACCATAAATCATTTGTGGAATGTGACAAGGTGAATAATTCTGATTTTCAAATAACAAATGAAAAAAAACAACAACTATAAAAATATAGAGTTTATAATAATAATAATATACATAGAATTACAAAAATAATAATAACATGAATAATAGTATAATAATTATAATAAATTTAACAAATAAGTTCAATAAAGGTGCAGATTGTTATTACAAAAATTCTGCAAGAGAAAATCTCAAATATAAGGAAGTTTGAATTTGTTTACAATGTTTAGTCGCTACATAACTATCATACTACCATTATTTCATAGTTTTGATCAATTTACTACGTAGAAAATATTTATGAGGATGAGTAAATGTGTCCAAAAGGTTTCTGCTGATGGCACTGGTAGTGAATGATTGTATTAGCACAGCCCAACACTATTTATACTATATATTAACAAGCCATAAAGCATAGTAGCTTGACTCAGTAAAATGAACTAACGGAAATGAAAAAGCTGGAACCTAAAGGGGTAATCTTTCAAATGTGTGAACCACTAAATGAAAATAACAGTACAAAAGAGGTGACATACTGAAGTTATTGGTGAGCAGAGGAGAGGCCGTGACAGGGGCCTGGGAGAAATGCTCTCTTCTGCTGCGCTGCTGCTTCAAATTCTAAACACAACAGGACAGATATGCCTCAGTTAAAACAATAAAGTAATGTTCGCTCATTACAACTGAACTAAATGTTATTTAAACAAAAGACAAGGCACTAGTTTGAAAATCAAAAGAAAGAGCAGGTGGTTTCATAGGACTATGATGCACAGTAGGATTGGGCCGATATACGATGCATTCGTCCATCGCCAATGGCTGACAGACATCTCAATGTTTAGCTGACATCGTGATTCCACCCCCCCCCCCCCCCCCCCCCCCCCCAGAAATATATATATCAATACTTTTTCTCGCAATTATATCGTTGGGTAAGTATAGGCGACTGTATATAAATTGCGGGCATCAGTGAGCCGCTATTGAAACCGCTTTTGATTGGGCGCTCTCATTTTACTTTCACTTTTGAGATTTGCGATCACAAGGACTCTATACTATAGAGCGGCAGTACTTACCACACATTTGACAAGATTAGATGTTTGTCATTGGTGCTCAGGATCTGCAAATCATTCGCCATCGTCCTATTCATGTACTGTAATGCAACAGGCTACCGCTAGCAAGCGGCTAACCTTTTAGTGGCTTCTTATAATGCATTATTTGTTTCACGCTTCAAGCACACCCCTAACCCCGCCCCACGATGTCATCGTCCATCACGATGTTTCACTGTAGACATCGTCCGATGCCAATTTGGTAGACATCGCCCAACCCTAATGCACAGTAAGCACACTTTGTGTGTTTTTGCTTTGCTAAGGCTCCGATTAAATATTTAACACAGAACTGACGATGTTATAAAAGTGTGGCACTGATCATAAAACAAAAAACACTCACCTCTGTTCTCACTTCAAGGACTGACTTGAAATCATTTGACATTGATGCCAGCTTGGACTGCAACACAAACATTTACAGATAAGACTGTTTACAGCATGTACTACATCGCAGCAGGAAAATGAAAGGTGTGGTGGCTAGTCAAGTCATCTAATGTCAATCAAAATGAGATCAACCACCCCTATGGTTTAAAGCAAGGGATATTTGAGATAACGCTTCCTGGAGAGTGTGGGATAGCTGTGCACTAAAGGAACATCAGATATAAGATTGTACCTGCAGGGATACAACAATTGTGTTGGAATGTGTCTGGATGTGACGGCCATTTTGCCCACTACGGGATCGTACGAGGTCTTGCAGCTGCGCTATCTGCTTATTCAGACTGTTGATGTCCTGATAGACAGAGAGAGACGGTATATATCAGATCAGTGCAAGAAGTTGATCTTACACAGTATGGTAGTTAGCTGAAGGATTCTGGTAAACAGATACCAAGACTCCTACAGGCAACTTTAACATCAATGTAAAGTGAAATAAGCAAGTACTGAAATTCATATAAATATGATTTCATATGACTGATATGGAGAATAACAACACAGACATCACTAACCTGTTTAATAATATATGTTAGCTCCTCAATCTCCACTGCTTTATCATCGAACAAAGACTTCCTTTTGGCCACTAGGAGTGAAGGGGAGAATAAAAATTCATAATGACACCAGAGCATACAGTGTACTTTAGAAATCGATAATTCTAACTCAAACATATTAGACCTCAAAGTAAACTAGGGAACCACAAAATAATGGACAAGATGAGCATCAGAACAGTTAAAATACTAATTTTTCCACCATCACAAGAGTCTAATAAGACAAGAAATAAGAGCATCCTTAAATCTATTTAGTATTACTGACGTGTTACTTACAAATTGTAAGCTTTTCAAGCTTGGCAAATGTGTTGCTCAAGTCTTTCCCAATTCTCCTGTTACAGAGAAACAAAACAAGATTTCAGGGGGGCAAAGTTTCGAGAAAGCAGGACAAGGTTCAGTTTCACTGAAGCGGGGGGAAAAAAAACTGGGCAAAGACCAAATAGGATGGATCTGAACTCTTACTTGGCCATAAGAGTGAAGTCACTGCGCTGTTTGAGGGCATTAATGGCAGGTTTATTGTGAGTCCCATTCTGAAAAGACAGAAGCAGCAATATTTTTACTTGTACCAAATTTAATTTCCTCTCATAGAGGAAATTAAAAGAATAATTCAGCCAAAAATGAAATTTTGCTGAAAATTTACTCACGCTCAGACCATTCAAAATGTAAATGGGTTTGTTTCTTTATCAGAACAAATTTGGAGAAATTTAACATTACATCACTAGCTCACCAATGGACCATCTGCAGTTAATTGAAATATATATATATATATATAAAAAGGGGGAAGTCAGAATGAAAGTTCAAACAGCTCATAATCAGCTTTATCCGCTTTTTGACTGTCATTCAGACAGTAGCCATTCACTGCAGAGGACCCATTGGTGAGCAAGTGATGTACAGTGGGGGGAATATTTATTTGATCCCCTGCTGATTTTGTAAGTTTGCCCACTTACAAAGAAATTAAGGGTCTGTAATTTTTACGGTAGGTTTATTTTAACGTATAGAGACAGAATACCAACCAAAAAATCCAGAAAAAAAACCACATTATATAAAAGGTTAGAAATTGATTTGCATTTCAGTGAGTGAATTAAGTATTTGATCCCCAAGCAAAACATGACTTAGTAGGTGCAGAAACCCTTGTTGGTAAGCACAGAGGTTGGACGTTTTTTTGTAGTTGGTCACCAGGTTTGCACACATCTCAGGAGGGATTTTGGTCCACTCCTCTTTACAGTAATAATCAATTAAAACAAAAATAATTTACATTTAAAATAGTATTGGAGCCATATAATTTGTTTTAGTTTTAGTTTGTCCCGCTGTTTATTTTATATTTAACAAAATACTACTACTACTACTACTACTACTAATTTAAAAAATATATTATTATTATTGATTTTGTCAAAGTGCATTTTATGGCGAATATTCGTGGTTTATAGACATACAACAATCATTTTTTAAAATCTTATTGGTCAAAAATAGGCCTTGTTTTATAGAGAAATGAATTTATTATTATTATTTGAATTCACTGCAAAATTAAAAGACTATATATCGAAATTAGAAAATGAAGCCTATTTTAGGATTTGGTTCACTGTCATAAAATGTAAAGAAAATTGATTAATAACAATATTAATTCATTTTTATTAATATATACAGTATATATATATATATAAAGTAGCATAGTAATAGTAGTAGTATTAATAATAATAATCATCCTCATCATCATCATCACTATCATCAAATATAAACATTTAAAATTAATAGAACAAACGTGCAGAAAAATGTTAATGGTTATAAAATCAGACTTCATTTTCTTCATTTTTTATTTTATTTTGTGGAATGTGAGCCAGACATTTCTTTGTGAGAAGGATTGATTCACTGGTAGCGCTGCATGTATTTTTAGAGGCATATTATTGGCTGCATCACTCCTGTTAAAAGCCTAGAGAACACAAAGAGAGAATAAAACAAGTATCAGCGAATCATCAGACAGGAGATATCAGGTAAGGCTTGTGCTGTTCTACAGGTGCTGGGCTGGTGGCATTAGCATTAACAGTAAGCAGTGTGTGTGTGTGTGTGTGAGAGAGAGTCTGACTCAGCAGCAGTCATGCAAGAGGAGGGAGAGGGATAATATTATTTTTCACATCATTACGGAGCTGGCGGCCCTCTGCCCGAGACTCCCAGACCCAGGTGATAATTATCACAATGTTTATCTTTCATTACCGTTAAACGGCAGGAAAAGAGAAGGGAGGGGGTGGACGACACAAAACAGGGAGGTTGAATTAAGAATAAAACAAAGACTAAAGCAAATATGTGCATTCCCTACAGAAAAGTACTGTTGAATTATCATGGTACAGTGATGGTATCAGATGGTAATACTTCGATATGTATAGGCCTATACAATGGTACTGAAAGATTACTATACACATATACCATATTTACACGATACTCCAAGGTCAAGGTCTTTTTCAAATCATGTTACATGTCCAGTTATAGACCATATTTCCACAACAGATTCAATCTCACAATAACATGTCCAGGTCACATTTCACCACAAAAATTAAGTCTATTTTAGGACCATTAAGATTTTTTGCACTATAAACCTTATTTTAACCACAATTTCCATATTTTCTAACCGGAATCACATCACCATGATAGATATTACTTAACGAGTAATCGTATACAATACAACGAGTTTCTAGTCATAAACTACAAAAATTAAATGACACAAGACAGTACAACAAACACTGACATAATGTATAAATAAAAAGCATTTATTTAATATATAGGTCTATATATACATATACACACACAGTATATATATATATATATATATATATCTTTGTTTTCAACACAGTGATAGGAATATGCATTATGGTGATGAGAATTGGGGCAGAAATGTACTTCATTGTTATGAAAATAATGCAAAAAGTCTATATAAAGCATTGAGATTTTTCTTTTGATTTAAATTTTTTTTTTTTGAAAGAACCTTGATTTGAAATATGACCCAGACATGTTTTTAAAAGGTTTTGTGAGATTCACCCGGTAATACTGCAGTACTTTTGCAAGTGACACTTCAGAATTACCAAATCATCACAAATCTATCTCAAAAATAAGACATTTCACTTTATTTATATATTATTAATATATAGCACATTGCTTTATGGCTGTTGTGTTTTGTATATACTGTATGTGTGATCAGACCTACGTTTGAATTTATACACTTACACACATTGTAGACAGAGCAGAGCAGAGCAGAGCAGGTTATGTCTCTCTGTAACAAATATTACACACACGTTCACACACAGGAGAATCGGGCACAGATGGTATAGCAGCAATAACCATTATAATTTCGTTCAAACAAACACTCAAAGCTTATATCGTGTATAGACTGTGGTACAGACTGGGTTCTGTTGGGTCTTGATCTACCTGGATACATACGGACAGATGCGGTTCTATGCACAAATTCTCGGAACAAAGATAGCTACGTTAACTTTACAGACACAGAGGTAGTTGATGCATGTTACTGATGAGAGAGAAAATGCTACATTTATAGCACAGGATATTTCACACGGAACATTTCACAGCAGCAATAGATTTGAAGGAAAGCCAGTCATCATAGACGAGGAAACAGGACAACATATTGACCGGTTCACACAGAAAAGAAAAGTCAACATGAACTCAAAATCAACCCTATTTACTTGCGTTTGCACATTCCTGGTCTTACTGTACATGCATGTCATTCTAAAGAAAATAATATTTGCATTCGTATCTTACATCAACATTAAATGACTTTGTCTCTTAAACAACTTTCCTTTCCCGCTGATGTAACTTAGGCCACGTGGGCTATTGGATAATGCTAACCACTAGTCAAACAGCTATTTAGGCAAACTAATATTCAGGTTTGGCTCCATTTTGCTTTGGTACACCCACTTTTCACACTGTAAAAGATTTTTTTTTCCAAGTAGTAACTAAAACAGATTATTGGCGTATGTTTCACAAGAAAATGCTATTTCAGTCTTTCTACTTCAAAATTTCACATTAAATTAATTTTGTTACTTGACATTTCTTTGCAATTATTTTGAATTTCTGAGTGAAAATTGTTTCAAAGTAAATCCTGCAACAAATATTTTTCAGTTCACCATTCAATCAACTCCCAATAGATCAAATTAAGTGCCGCACTACATATTTGTGACCCTGGACCACAAAACCAGTCATTAGTGTCAATTTTTTTAATTGAGAATTATACATCATCTGAATAAATAAGCTTTCCATTGATGATAGGACAATATTTGGCCGAGATACAACTATTTGAAAATCTGGAATCTGAGGGTGCAAAAAAATCTAAATATTGAGAGCCAATAGATCAAATTAAGTGCCGCACTACATATTTGTGACCCTGGACCACAAAACCAGTCATTAGTGTCAATTTTTTAAATTGAGAATTATACATCATCTGAATAAATAAGCTTTCCATTGATGATAGGACAATATTTGGCCGAGATACAACTATTTGAAAATCTGGAATCTGAGGGTGCAAAAAAATCTAAATATTGAGAAAATCGCCTTTAAAGTTGTCCAAATGAAGTTCTTAGCAATGCATATTACTAATCAAAAATTAAGTTTTGATATATTTACAGTAGGAAATTTACTAAATATCTTCATGGAACATGATCTTTACTTAATATCCTAATGATTTTTGGCATAAAAGTAAAATGTATTATTTTGACCCATACAATGTATTTTTGGTTATTGCTACAAATATACCCCAGCGACTTAAGACTGGTTTTGTGATCCAGGGTCACATTTTTCTCACTGAAGTCTAGTTTCACTAAACATACATCATATACAGAGGTAAAATGGGTTGCAAATTACATTTCATGTTGACTTTAACAAAGATCAGTAGCTCGGGAATGCTGATAACACATGGATATCTTATATCTGGGTAGTCTGGAGAGTGAAAGGGTGCTGAGGGATCCTAATAATTTACATTATTGCAGATACTGACTAAACAAATAATCTGAGAAATCACTTAAAGTGAGGTCAGCCTTGCTCTTGAAAATCCTATTTCATTCAATAATGCTACATATATGGTGGAAAGAAGTGTTTGGTTAAATGACCACCATTAAAAAAAAAGTGATTCTTTCACGTTCGCAGCCTCTGACATCGATGGAAACTAACAATCCTCAACATTGACTGACACATTATCTGAGCTGTATGACTCAGAATAAATCAGCCAAAAATACTGAATATTCTCGAATCATCAGTTGCAGCAGATTAAATGTCCCAAAAGAAACATTATGCAAAGCATAATACAAAATGCATCTCAATATAAAAAATAAATACATAATAGTCCCAACCCTGTGAGATGACTAAGACTGACTTAACACACACAGAACGGGCATTTCCCTTTTCCTGAAGACTTTCTCCGAGCTTCTTTAGTCAAATTCACACTCAGCCCGACTCTGAAGGTTGGATTAACAGAGATACACAAAAGAAACATTCTTTAAAACAAAATAGACTACAATAACATTAGTATTCTTTACAAAACGAACAAGATAGATAAAATAAACTCTTCTTTCAGTATCAACACAGAAAAGCTTATATTTACCTGCCTGCATTTGTATGTGTACGCATGACTGTGTGTGTGTGTGAGGGAGAAAGAATTTTAAAAAAAGGCAGACGAAAAAGTGAAAAGGCTTAAAGAAAGAGACGAAATATGAGTGTGATCGGGGGCGTGGGAGAGAGAAGACGTGTGTTTGGTGAGCACCAATGGAATATAGCCAGGTTTCTATATGATTGGCATTCCTCTCACTGGCTAGCCAGTGGGAAAAGCTTACAATTCCCTAAGGAAGGAACCGAATAAAAAGCAAATCAAACAAACACAAAAAGACTCATTGATACAGTCTGTGAAGCCACATTATGGACTTATAGAGGCCAGGAATAAATTAGGATAGACGCACAGATCCTTATTATGCACAATTCAGACCACACAGACACCCGTCGATCCGTCTAATTGACCCATCCATCCATTTATCACATGCGGAGGGTCAGAGGAGACATCGTGGATGTTCTCAGGATGAGATATTCTGCTTGTGTAGTCAAACACTTGAGTTCTCTCAACATTGAAGGTCTGTCAACATCCATCCCATCAAGAGCTCTCCACTTTAAGTAGTTTGGTAGAAAAAAGACTCCTTCCTTATTCAGTTTTCCCTTTGAAAGTTCTCAGCGCACACTCGTCATCCTTAGCGTCACACTAGCTGAGTGTCCGTGCCTATATGAGGATCCATTAAAGCTGAACAAAATCCCAAAATTAGTTTTGGATAAAGCTCAGTGAGAACTCTATGGTTTACTTTTAAAGCATTGCATATTCCAGCGATACGCTTGACCCACTGAATGTCCATAATACAGTGTCAAATGGTTAAAGGTGGTCTGAAGTTTGGATCATAATGGAAAAAGCTTCAACAATAGGATCTGATGATATTCCAAATCCGTACACACGGCACAGACATGGATAAACAGTGCAGAAAGAATGTATATGGATCTAATACTGCCATAATGGTGTGGGGGGCATAGCCAGATGGGCCAGGGGGTGGGTTTGCGGTTTGTTCCCGAACGCAAACCCTCTTTCTGGGTGAGACCCAAACTTCAGAGTCCATGACAAAAGAATAAGCAAACCTTTGACCTCCTCAAAGCTGTGCAAAGTTTGATCGGTGGATTATACGGGTGGTTTGATTTCACTATTCGCTTTGGGTTTCACATCTGAAAGAGAATGAGAAGAGGAAAGAGATTACTCATGTTAAAAATACTGAGCAACACTTTACTTGAAGCATTTCATAAACAATTGTAACCACAATGATAATGCATTAAAATACTTAAAACTACCTTTCAAAAGTTTAGGACTGGTAACATTTTAATGAAGTCTATGTTCACCAAGGTTGCATTTATTTGATCAAAAATATAGTAAAAACAGTGATATTTCAATTTAATATTATTGCAATTTAAAATAACTGTTTTCTGTTGTATTATATTAAAATGTAATTTATTCCTGTGATGGTAAAGCTGAATTATCAGTAGCCATTACTCCAGTCCTTCAGAAATCATTCTAATATGCTGATTTGCTGCTCAAAAAAAATTTCTTTTTATTATCAATGTTAAAAACAGTTGTGGAAACTGGTAAACTTGTTATAATTTAAAGTCCCTAAGGCTTGACATTCTCATTCTAAACAGAATTTGATTGTATAAAAAAATCATAGAGATAAAAAGCATAGAGATAACCTTAAACCTAACAAACACTTTTGATCAATTTAATGCATTCTTGCTTAATAAAATTATTAATTTATAATAATTCATTATATAATTTAAAGTCCCAAAGAAATGGCTTGGCATTCTCATTTTAAACAGAATTTGACTGTATAAAAAATTTAGATATAAATGCAGAAAAAGTCAATCAATATTTTTAATTAATTTTCCTAGAGAAAAAAAAAATATATATATATATATAAATAAATAAATAAATAAATATAAAAACTAAATAAATAAATA